GACCTAACTATTCCATTCTCCCACTTTTCTAGGCCTAACTATTTTGAAGAATAAGGAAGAGGAATAGAATCTCATTCATGAATGAAAAAAAAAAACTCAATAGGATAAAGAGGAGGTGGGAGCGGTGTGTGTGTGGGGGGGGGACTGGTTTGGCTCGGGTCCAGGATTTGAGCTCGGGTATACCCAAGGTAATACATAGAATTTCTATATAATATATATATATATACATTATATATTTATTTTAAGGATTAGGCAGCTTTCCCGTCGCTTCTTATTGGCATGTCGAGGTGGGACTAAAACCATTAAGGATCAAAATGGAATCAAAATTCCAGATGCAGTTCTCACAAAAATAGAGCACTTATTTGTAGAGGCTGATGGAAGCTGCCTCGCCACCACGATTCAAACATTTGCAGCAAAAAAAACCCTAAAAACATTTGCAGCAAACCCCCCCCCCCAACTGTCATATAGCACCTCTTGGGCGATGCCTTTAGAAAGGGAAAGGTGCATTGGTTACTTATCGGACATCCAGCACATGAGAGTGCCTTCAATTTAGCATCAATGTAATACGTAAACTTAATTGCTCACCAAGCCCACTTTGCCCATTATAGCGTGACGTAGAAAATGACATGTGAGAAGAAGAAAAAAATACAAAATTCCTTTATACATCTCCTTAATTGAGCTTAAAAACTTCTTACAGAGTTAATTCTTTGTCATCCTTGTTAATGTAAGATTCTCCCTTATAGCTTCTCAGATGGAATGCCTTGTGACCTAACTATTCCATTCTCCCACTTTTCTAGGCCTAACTATTTTGAAGAATAAGGAAGAGGAATAGAATCTCATTCATGAATGAAAAAAAACTCAATAGGATAAAGAGGAGGTGGGAGCGGTGTGTGTGTGAGGGGGGGGGGACTGGTTTGGCTCGGGTCCAGGATTTGAGCTCAGGTATACCCAAGGTAATACATAGAATTTCTATATAATATATATATATATATATATACATTATATATTTATTTTAAGGATTAGGCAGCTTTCCCGTCGCTTCTTATTGGCATGTCGAGGTGGGACTAAAACCATTAAGGATCAAAATGGAACCAAAATTCCAGATGCAGTTCTCACAAAAATAGAGCACTTATTTGTAGAGGCTGATGGAAGCTGCCTCGCCACCACGATTCAAACATTTGCAGTAAAAAATTCCCTAAAAAACATTTGCAGCAAAAAAACACCCTCCAACTGCCATATAGCACCTCTTGGGCGACGCCTTTAGAAAGGGAAAGGTGCATTGGTAACTCATCGGACATCCAGCACATGAGAGTGCCTTCAATTTAGCATCACTGTAATACGTAAAGTTAATTGCTCACCAAGCCCAATTTACCCATTATAGCGTGACGTAAAAAAATGACTTATGAGAAGAAAAAATACAAAATTTCCATTATACCTCTCCTTAATTGAGCTTAAAAACTGCTTACAGGTTAATTCTTTGTCATCCTTGATAACAGAAGATTCTCTCCCTTATAGCTTCTCAGATGGAATGCCTTGTGACCTAACTATTCCATTCTCCCACTTTTCTAGGCCTATCAATTTTTGAAGAATAAGGAAGAGGAATAGAATCTCATTCATGAATGAAAAAAACTCAATAGGATAAAGAGGAAGTGGGAGCGTTGTGTGTGTGGGGGGGCGGGGGACCGGGTTGTCTCGGGTCCGGGATTTGAGCTCGGGTATACCCAAGATAATACATAGAAAATCTATATAATATATATATATATATATATATATTATATTTATTTTAAGGATTAGGCAGCTTTCCCATTGCTTCTTGTTGGCATGCCGAGGTGGGACTAAAACCAGTAAGGATCAAAACGGAACGAAAATTCCGGATGTCGTTCTCACAAAAATAGAGCACTTATTTGTAAAGGCTGATGGAAGTTGCCTCGCCACCACGATTCAAACATTTGCAGCAAAAAAATCCCTAATAAAACATTTGCAGCAAAAAACACCCCCAACTGTCATATAGCACTTCTTGGGCGACGCCTTTAGAAAGGGAAAGGTGCATTGGTAACTTATCGGACATCCAGCACATGAGAGTGCCTTCAATTTAGCATCACTGTAATACGTAAACTTAATTGCTCGCCAAGCCCACTTTGCCCATTATAGCGTGACGTAAAAAATGACATATGAGAAGAAAAAATTACAAAAATTCCTTTATACCTCTCCTTAATTGAGCTTAAAAACTCCTTACAGGTTAATTCTTTGTCATCCTTGTTAACAGAAGATTCTCTCCCTTATTGCTTCTTAGATGGAATGCCTTGTGACCTAACTATTCCATTCTCCCACTTTTTTAGGCCTAACTATTTTTGAAGAATAAGGAAGAGGAATAGAATCTCATTCATGTGTTCATGCTAACAGAAGAGTGGATCCAATACACATACATAAGCCATCGGTTGTTCTTAACAGTGATCTCCCCCCTCAAGTGAAAAGGAGAGTTCCCCAAATACCATGGGAACCTTTTATTGCTGGCCACCAATATTTTCTTCATTTCCCCTCAAATAAAAGAAGGGAGTTCCCCTCAAATAAAAAGGGGAGTTCCTCAAATACCATGGGAAGCTTTTATCCTCAAACAAAAAGAGGAGTTCCCCCAATACCATGGGAATATGGAACCTTTTATCCTAAAAAAAAGGGGGGAGTTCGCCCAATACCATGGGAACCTTTTATTGGTGGCCACCAATATTTCCTTGATCTTCCCTCAAATAAAAAAGAAGTTATATCTACTCTAATGCCATAAGAACCACTTTTCCCTCAAATAAAAAAAGTTATATCTACTCTAATGCCATAAGAACCACTTTTCCCTCAAATAAAAAAAGTTATATCTACTCTAATGCCATAAGAACCACTTTTCCCTCAAATAAAAAAAGTTATATCTACTCTAATACCATAAGAACCACTTTTCCGCCACCAATATTTTCTAGATCTTCCCTCAAATAAAAAAGTGATATCTACTCTAATACCATGAGAACCACTTTTTAGCCATCTTTTCTCTTACACTCTTATATAAATAAAAAAGTAAAGTTCTGCAATAGCAACTCCCGCAATATTAAACCTCCTCCAATATTAAAAAACAATATTGAGCTACCCAATACATACATATTACATATAAATTATTATTATTATTATTATTATTATTATTATTATTAATCATTATTAATTATTAAAATTAAAACACCGGTAAAAATACTCTTAGCTCAAGTGACTCCACACCCACTGCCAACCCTTGGTCCACTTTGTAGCTCACCAAGTGGCCAACGCTGAATCACTTGGCGTGGTGGGACTACTGCCCAGCGTAGCTATGCATGCAATGCAAACACTCGGCTGGTCAGCATGCACGTGGGCCACAGCCTGCTAATGCCCAGCAGCACGTACACGTATCCTGTTGAGTCCAGTGAGACTGAGTGCATGCACCACGGCCCACTAGCTAGCTTAATCTTCTCTTTTGTTTGTTTTTTCTTGCATTGTCGTACTTTGTGTTCTTCTAATTGTTTTGTGACAATTAAAAGTACAATAAAGCTAGTCCTTTTCTTTCCTTCTCTTTTCAAACTCATGAACATGTCTTTAATAATTACTATCTGCTTTTGTTAAACATTTGGTTTCAAATTAGGTCAAACCAAAAAACCACAAAGTGTTTTTTTCTCTCAAAAAACCAAAGACCACCAAATTTAAACCAAAGACCAGCCCCAACCAAATGAACAGGCCCATATATGTATGTTTTTAAATAGATGGCGAATTAATTAGCTTATACCAATTTCAAAAACAGAGGGAGATTACGAATCTAGAATATATTATTCTCCGGTTTTCTCTCCTTTCTCGGTAGTATTGGGAGCTTCTTTGAGCAACTTGGACAAAAATGGCTGCAAGAAAGCTAAAGGAAGGGTGGGAGCCAAGGGTAAAGAAGTAGAGGGAAAAGGGATTTTTTTAGGCGGTTTTCACGGTCGGATCGTACGATGATCCGGTGGTGAAAGCCCTTTACATCGCTGGATCATAGTAGCTAGAGTACAGTAGCCATTTGAGCTGACGGTAAAAATCGCTATCACCGCCGGACTGTCCTCTGACCCAGCAATGATTGCAATTTTCACCGATGGCTCAAATGGCAACTGCACCAGTCTACCTTGAAACCGACAATGAAACCTTTTCCTCCGCTGGTTTGTATATGGGTGGTGTATTCGGCAAAAAACTGGCGGTGAAAATTATTTCATCACGTGGTCGGCGTATGGTCCGGCAGTGAAACGGCGAGCCGATGGTAAAACCGTGCTGTAAAAATAACATTTGTAGTAGTGAATGAGAGAAATTGTAAAAGATAAGCAGGTCTGTTTAGTTGTGGGTCCAATAAATCTTCTTAGGTTCATTTCTGTAGGATCATATGAGTTCTTAGACTAGCATGGGCAAAATACAAATTGGCCCTAAAATATGGATAAGGAGAGCGTAGTTCCAAAAGTAAATGATTGCCATAAAGCTGGTCCTTTTTCTGTCCTTCTCTTTTCAAACTCATGAACATGTCTTTAATAATTACTATATATATATATATATATATATATATGTATGTATGTGAGTACAAATAGATGGCGAATTAATTAGTTTATTATAAATGCCAATTTGGAAGGGAGATTACGAATCTAGAACTAGAATATATTATTCTCCAGGTTTCTCTCTCCTTTCTCGGTAGTACTATGGAGGAAAATTAAATATTAGTTTCTGTCGCCTCCGTGTCACGCTTGGTTTTTCTTGTTCTTCGTGATATGGATATGGCACCAGGTGCTCTCCTCTTCTATGCAGGCATGCAGCTATACCCCTAGGGCTAGGCCATTGTCCACTATATATATGTATATATATCCTCTCGTCCTGTTGTTCATTCTTCCGCCTTGTCATTGCATTGCTCGTGTTTTGCAGTCGAGCTTCTCTCTGTACACACATATAGAGAGAGAGATCGAGGAAACAATAAGAGAGTGCTGAAGATGGCTGACCTGACGCAAGGCGCTGTGGGCTCGCTGCTGGGCGTGCTCGCGACGGCCGTCAAGAACGAGGCGGATCTTCAGAAAGGCGTGGAGCGCGACATGCAGTTCATCAAAGATGAGATGGACAGCATGAACGGCTTCCTCCTCCACCTGACGAAGTCGGGGAACGAGCACGACGACCAGCAGCGCGCGTGGATGAAGCAGGTCCGCGACATCGCCTACGCCTCCCAGGACTGCATCGAGCTCTACAACCTCTACGGCATGACCCCGCCCTGCAACAGCGTTTCGAGCATCGTGGATTTCCTCCCCAGCTACGTGCATGGGAAGATAGAGCGCCACAAGCTCGCCAAGAAGATCAAGGAGCTTAAGGAGCGGGTGAAAGACGTGGGCGAGAGGCGGGAGCGGTACGGCGTCACCGTCCCGTCCACGGAGCCCAAGAGGAGGTCGGACGATGGTGCCGGCGACGACGTGGAGACGATGAGCGAGGCAAGAGGAGAGTTCCTTGAAGCCTTACGGGAAGACGAGGAGGAGACGACGTCCTCTGATGGGAGAAAGGACGAGGCGGCTGCAGGTCTCTCTTCGCCTTCAATCTATATCTCCACTATGATGAGGAGATGGATACCTCGTCCACCATTTGACCACGCCATCCGCAAGCTTGCGCCTGAGCTTGCACCTCACGCTCGCAAGGTACTTGGAGCCCTCCTCAAGCACAAGGCTGGCGGCGCGAGGAAGAAGCACGATGACCGACGGCGGCTCCATGACGCCGTCGCCGTCTGCATGGGGATGGTCCTCCGTGCTCTTCACGCTTTTCCTCAAAGCCGTGTGGGCAACGAGGAAGAGCTGAACAAGCTCATGGAGGCCTTGGACGGCAGCACCGCAGACCTTCCCAAGCGGGTGCTGACCTTCTGCTACAGCCAGCTGAACACGGAGGAGAAGAGCTGCCTGCAGTACCTGGCTGCCTTCCGACAAGAAACAAGCATCAGCAGGACAAGCTTGGTCCGGCGCTGCGCAGCCGAACGCCTCGTGAGCGACGACAAGGAGCACCAGCTAACCGTGGAGAAGAGGGCCGAGATCTGCTTCGAGGAGCTTCTCTTCCGGGGGTTCATCTCCCCCGGTGCCTATGGCGCCGCCGAGAAAGTCAAGAGCTGCCGGTTCGGGAGTGAATCGGTCAAGGAATTCATCGTGGAGATGTGCAAGGCGGAGAACTTTGTGGGCGGCGGCTTGCCAGTTCACCTTCGAATCCAGAATGAAATTCGTACTGCGGCACTGGAACAACACCAGGGCAAGCAGCTGCAGCAGCAGCGCGGTGATCAGCTGCCACGCATATGCATGCCACTGGCGGCAGTCAACAAGCAGTGGCAAAATGATCCCATCAACAAGATGCTACGAGAGCTGGACTCACTCCCAAAAAGCTATCGTCTCAACGTCATGGATCTGGGAGGCTGCATCGGAATATTGAGGAGCCACCTGGCAAGCATCTGCAAGATACGGACGCTCAAGTACCTCAGCCTCCGGAATACGGATGTTCGTGGGCTGCCCAGCCAACTCCAGGAGCTCCGTCTGCTGGAGACGCTGGACATTCGGCAAACCAATATACGACATGGCTCCCGCTCCCAAGCACTTCTTCCACGCAGCCTCAAGCATCTTCTAGCCGGCAACGTCGACTCTCAGGGTGACGCCCCCAACGCCACCGTGAGGATCCCTGACAGTATCAGGGAAATGGTCGCCCTGGAGGTTCGTAACTACTGTTCTATTCCCATTTCCCAACTTAGTACTGTAGCTGTGAATTCTGATCCATATATATGATTCCATAACGTTGTTGGAACTACGTACCTAGCTAGCTCCTATCTCTGATCTGAAGCAGTTACTATTACTAATAATAAAAGAAACAAGTAAAGGGAAAAGAACACGATCAAATTTTGGGGCTTGTGCCTAGGGGTCATTGCCAGGGTTTTGACTCCTTGCAGTCGAAGCATAGGTTTTGGATATGGTTTGGCTCATATGTTAGTTGGTAACATGCATGTTATGATTTAGGGTTGTTGTAAACATTATGTCTATGGTTTATCCCCATATAGAGTTGGCGGCCTACTGTGATTTAGGGTTGCAACATGGGTTTTGGCTATGGTTTAGCTTCTTATGTTTAGGGGTCGTCGCTGCAGCAGTAGTTGTGTCTATCGTATGCCCCCTCCATACTTTGCATCTTGTTGCATCTAGTGGCCGTTGCATGGGTTTTGACTGTGGTTTGCCATCCTTCTCAGCTGGCAGCTTGTTTATGTTTAAGGGTTGTTGCAAGGGTTTTGACTATGGTTTGACTTCCCAATAAGTTGGCATCATGTTGTGTTTACGTCTCACTATATGGGTTTTGACTATGGTTTGGCCCTGCCCCACACCCACTCCCCATTAGCAATTTGTTGTGTTTAGGTGTCGAACCAGGGGTTGTCATTGTGACTATGTTTTGCCCCCTCCCACTCCCACCCACAAGTTGCCAACCACTTTGTTTAGCGGTTGCTTCTACGGTTATAACTATGTTAACGTTTTGCCCCTCTCCTAGTTTGTAGGCTGTTGTGATTTGGGTTTGCCGCTGGGGTTTTCAATATGGGTTTCCCTCACTATGTAGGTTATCTAGTTATGGTTTGCCCCCTAACTTGCAGCTTCTTGTGTTTAGAGTTCACTATGGTTGCCCCACTAAACCTAGTTGGTAGCCTGTTGTGATTTAGAGTTCCATAAAGTTCTATGTCTATAGTTCACCCCCTCCCAGTAGGTAGTTGTGATTTGGAGTCTAAACATTGGGTGTGGCTATGGTTTGCCTCTCCTCCCCCATCCCATAGTTTGCATCTTGTTGTACTTATGGATTGCTCCAAGGGCGGCGCTTTGATTATGGTTTGCCCCCCAGTTGGCAGTTTTTTTTTGTTTAGAGGTTGCATCAGGTGTTGTGACTATGGTTTGCTCCTAGTTAGCATCTTAGTGGTTTAGGGGTTACTTCAGGGGTTTTGTCTATGGTTTTCCCTCTCCAGTTTTTAGACTTTTGTGATTTAGGGTTTCTTCAGGGGTTGAGACTACAAGGGTTTTGATTACGGCTTACCTTCCTCTCAAAGTTAGCGGCTTGCGGTGTTTAGGGGTCACAACTATGGTTTACATCCCTCCCCATACCCCAATTGCTAGCTTGTTGTGACTTAGGGTTGCTACATGGGTTGTGTCCATGGTTTGGCACCCTAGTCATAGGTTGTTGTGATTTAGGGTCGCATCACGGGTTTTGACTATATGCCTCGTCTCCTAGGTTTGCAGCTTAGTTGAGTTTAGGCGATGCTGCAAAAGGTTTTGACTGCTTTAATTTCTTCCATCCAATTGATAGCTTGTTGTGTTTAGCGGTTGCAGTATGAAGTATGACTATGGTTTACACCTCCAATTAGTAGTTTGTTTTGTTTAGGGGTCTGTTAATAATTGCTGCTTTTTAGAATTCTTAAATAAACATGGATAATGTATTCTGTAATAAACTATAAACTACTATGATCGAGTGGAATCATGATCAAAATTGAGCAACATATGTAGAAAAATGAGAGAATTTCTTGAATGAGTCATTATAAAAGATCGCAATTCCTTCTGTGCCACTGAAAAAGTTTGGCGGACTTCAGCACCACTGCTCCAAACTTTTTTTGCCCTCCATGCTGCTACTGTTAGATTGGGCTCTAACTGTGTCAAACTGCAGGGGTAAAAAGTCAAAAATACCCTTAGGTCTAAATACGCCATTAATAACTTTCTAGTTTTGAGTTTTTTCATTTGAAGTCATTAAGATGCTAAAAAAATTAATGGCGTATTTAGACCTAAGAATATTTTCGACTTTTCACCCTACAGTTTGACACCGTTAGAGCCCAATCTAATGGCAGTGGCATGGAGGGCAAAAAAAGTTTGGAGCAGTGGTGCTGAAGTCCGCCAAACTTTTTCAGTGACACAGAAGGAATTGCGATCTTTTATAATGGCTCACAAGGAATTCTCTCTAGAAAAATCACTTAAGAGATGATTTAGGAAACATTATTATTCTGGCCCATTAACCCCACCCCACCCCACCCCCAATTAATTAATGTGGAAAATTCCATTTCAATTCCTAAGTCTCTACTCTCTAGATATGTATGTATTGAATATTTGGTATGGGAAGAATTCAATCAGATCAAATAATTAAATTTATTAACCTCTTGACAGATACTAGCCCATGTCAAAGTTTGCTACCGTCGCGAGCTCAGAAAAGTCGAGAATCTGACTAAGCTAAGGAAGCTTGGTCTTGTATTCGTCCCGGCAAACGAAGACGGCATGATGAAAGATTTGCTCCGGGCAGTCGGCAGGCTGAGCGGATGCCTGCACTCCCTGTCGGTGAGGATGGAAAGACCGCCCCTCAATGGCTGGCTTACTCTTGACGGCGACATGTCGTCACCTGTTCCTTCCAATCTCGTGAGCCTAAGGATAGACGGCTTGAGGACCTCTGGATTGCCTACATGGGCCGAAAGACTCTACAAACTTCAAAAGATCACACTGTGCAATACCACGCTGACTGATCAGAAGCTGGGCGCCCTTAGCGAACTCCCAGCCTTGGTCTGCCTCAGGCTCCGTCACAAGTCATACAATGGAAGAGAGCTCGCCTTCAGGAAACCAGGTGGGTTCCCGTCCCTCAAGTTTCTCCGGATTGAGAACGTCCTCGTCGTCACTGAGCTCACCTTCCAAGCCGACTCGGCGCCAAAGCTTGAGATGATCGTCTGGTCATCGGACCACGCCACCGACGACGCCCTCGTCGCAGCCATCACAGTTTCCGTGGCTGGAGTCGAGAACCTGCCCAAGCTGAGAGAGGTGGTGCTCAAAGGCCTGCGAGAGCAGCATCCTTCCACCTTGACCAAGGACGTTGCAAAGCACCCCAAACACCCGCGCTTCATCACTCATGGCCACTAACTATATACCTTGCACGTTCCGCCTAAGTATCCATGTGTGCATGCACGAGCGACATCCATCTATCTATCCCTAATAACTCAAATAAGGCCTAGCTATCTATCGATACAATATGGCTACCTAGTTGTGTACATACATATCATTCTGCATGCGCCTTCAAATTGAATTTGTGTGCCTCCATGTGTGTGTGTGTCTCTCTCTCTCTACACACACATACTGTTTTGCTATATTGCACCTGAGTGCATTCCGTGCACAGAATTCACCCAGACCAACCGGTGCGCCTAGTCCATGCAACCGGCCGAATCAGCCCACTATCCGAGCATGCCTCCCGCACGTGAACTGTCACCCTAAAAAATGTCATGCGTGCGTCCTAGTTAATTTGTATCATCCACCTATCATTCACAGCCACGTTGTATACAAATCCCACTAGACTGTATGCATGCGTGGATAAAATCTTTTGTGGATTAGATTCTTTGAAATAAATTTTCTCTTAAACCGTAACCCCAATTAACAAACCGTTTGCTGCATCTTAATCAAAAAATGTGCTTAACAAAACTATATCCAATATGGATATATTTTATTATTTTTACAACGAGTTGCATCTCTGTGTGTTACTGATTGCAACTCCGTATACTATCGAGTTGCAACTAGTTATAACTTTGTGTACCTTTTGCATCTGGTCTTCATAACCAGATTCAGTTGCAATTCAGAGTTGGTATCATATCTGATTGTAACTAAAGTAGCAATTGGGTTGCAATTGTGTAGTAACTGGTTATATGTACAATTATGTAGTAATCGGCTCTGTACAGAATGCACCAGGCTGGTAAGCAAACCCAGGCCGGTAAGCGAGTCAGAGCGAACCAACCAGTATGCATGCACTCGAGACAACCAACAACCAGGATGCATGCACCCGAGACAACCAATAGCTAATTTGCTACTTCTCACCACTCATGGTTAGCCAGGTGCAACAAATACAACTAGGAGCCAGCATGCATGTATGGATGGAATCTTTTGTGAGTTTGATTCTTTGAAATAAATTTTCTCCTAAACCGTAACCCCGATTAACAAATCGTTTGCTGCATCTTACTAAAAAATATGCTTAACAAAACTAGATCCAATATTGATATATTTTATTATTTTTACAATGAGTTGCACCTTTGTGCGTTAATGATTGCAACTATGTAGCAATTGGGTTGCAACTATGTAGCAACTGGTATACAAACGGAGCTGCAACCAGCCGTCCAGTGGAGTTGCAACTGGCCTACCCAACCGGACTGCAACTGACTTATCACACGAGTCGCAATTGGTCTACCACCAGAGTTGCAATTTGTGTACGACAGAAGTTGCAATCGGCTGATGGTCTAAGTTGCAACTGGTATACAAACAGAGTTGCAACCAGCCATCTAGGGTAGTCGCAACTGGCCTACCCAACCAGATTCCAACCGGCCTATGCAGGACCCATCGGCACGCAATGCACAAAGCTCAGTTGGTGTGTGCATGCATGGTAGCAGGCAGAGCTAGAGTGCGCTTCTTGGATGCTTGCCACTGGCCTGGCTCTCGTTTAGTTTTGTTCATCGGTTCATCCACGGATTCACGGTCGTGTACAACTGCTGCCTGGTGTTGTAGTTGTACTAATCATAGAGATCAGATAGATTCCCTGCTCGCATGTTTGATCGATGCAGATGCGTGTGATGCCTGGCCTGCCTGCCAAGACTCACCGCATGCATTCCCAGTAGTGTTATTTGCTGCAAGCAACTCCCGTGTGTGCGTGCCTCTGTTTTAGTTTTTTTCCTTTTTCTTTTTTTTCCTTTCAGTGAAGTTCTTTCTTTCTCTTTCTCTCACTCTATGCATAATTTGTACGTGAAGTCCTTGAGGATGGCTCAATGCTTTGTGGTGTGGAAATAGAACTACCATTGACACATTTTCCTTGCTCCCTGTGGCAAATTTTCTTCTGAGCACACCCACAGCCAACCCAAACATCTGCCTATGAGCAAGCAGCTTTACAAGCAATTTCGTGCCAGCGTCGTCCGGTGCACAAGGAGTGAAGGAACGTGAGCTGCTGAGCCAACCTGACACAGTTCATTGAAAATGTTTCTGCTACCTGCTTGCTTGCTTGTTTACTGTACATGAGTTCATTGAAAATGTTTCTGCTAAATAGGCTACAACCAAGTTGTAATTGTGTTGCAGACGTGCTTGCAACTCATTGTACAACTTAGATGCAATTACATACTTTATTTTTTAACAAATATAGCCTTCATGGATCTTATTTTGTTAAGTACATTTTTTTCGAAGAACCTACTTCAAACGGATTCAAAAACGGATCTGTGGTTTAGGAGATATCACATTTTTTCGAATCGAATCAAGAAAAGATTCCATCCATGCATGCTTCCTGGTGGGTGGGTTGACCTGTGAGGTGGCATCACGTGGTTGGTTGTGTCCATTTAATTTTGCATGCACGAGCGCAGGTTTGTCTGGAAAATGTGGGGAGGGTCCTGCGGGCGTGCGCTGGCGCGTGGACCGCAGGGTTAGAGAGGGTCTGTGCACTCGTTGCACGGAATGCAACTGGCCTATCACACGAGTGGCAATTGGTCTACCACCAGAGCTGCAATTTATGTACGATTGAAGTTGCAATCGGCTGACGGGTTGAGTTGGAACTGGTATACAAACGGAGCTGCAACTAGCTGTCCAGGGCAGTTGCAACTGGTCTACCCAACCGGAATGCAACTGGCCTATCACCAAGGTTGCAATTTGTATAGGACGGAAGTTGCAATCGGTTCAAGGGATGAGTTGCAATTGATATACAAACGATGCTGCAACTAGCCATCTAGAGCAGTCGCAACTGGCCTACCCAACAGGAATGCAACGAGCCTGAGCATTTTTTTGGTTTCGAATCAAGAAAAGATTCCCTGCATGTATGCTTCCTGGTTGGTGGGTTAACCTGTGATGTGGCATCACATGGTTGGTTACCTCCATCTATTTTTTGCATATACGAACATGGAGTTTGTTAACGCGAGGACCAGCTGCTGTGCGGTACGCGTAGAGTCTGGTTCGGCCGGTCCGGTATGCTCGCCGCACTCCTCGCGTCTCATCGCTCGCTCTCGTGGTCAGGTGCATTTTAGCATATATATATATATATATATATATATATATATATATATCTCGTGTGTGTGGAACTCCAACAAAGCTCGATGTTGGGTTTGAGTTGATGCATGAAACGAGACCTCACAATATACGGTTTCATTTTATAATTGTATAGACTTGTCATCGCATTTAATTGCTGCGTGGAATTGAGATCAATTAATGTTCTGTTTCATATTACAGCCGCATGTATATTTTAATTCATCGGTGGTCCTCAAAGCTGCGTCATCTAGATCCCAAAGTCCTAAAATGCAACTTTTGTCTCTCTGAAGCTGTAATAGGTCTCATCTAGGTCCCAACGGCCAGCCATTTACCCGATCTGCTATCCTACGTGACATTTTTCTAAGGTGACAAGCCCGGTTACACAACTAATATGCTACTGAAACTATATTATTTAACTATCTCAAATGAAAAAAGCTCAAATTACAATGTTGTAGATCTCATTGAGGACTACAGTTTTTATATAAAAATCATCTCATTCGAGGTCGTATGAAAAAAATACGATTTTTCTAAGGTGGAGGCTTGCCACTAACATGTAGGATAGATAGCGGATCGGATAAACACCCGTTGAGATTTAGATGAGACCCATTACAATTTTAGAAAACCAAAATACATTTTAAGACTTTGGGACCTACAGAAAACTTTGAGCATCATCTCTGGGGATTTCAGGAAGTCACTTCTGCATAAACTGTTTTTCAGGGTTACATGTTCAGCAAGGCCACCCCTCCTCTTGAATCCAAACGTATGCGACAACTATTCTCTTGTTTGCCCAACTAGGAGAGGAGCCGAGGCGAGTCTAAGGTGACACGCGAAAGAAGGCAACAAGGGCCACAAAGGTACTCTCGCGAATGAATGTCAGGGTTGTCTTGGGTCCCAAAGGATGCCAAATTAAGGTCCCGTTTGGCAGGGTTTCTCCACCAGCTTCAGGAGCCGTTTGGAGCTGTTTTCTGCCAAACGGGGTAAAGTGAAATAGCTTCACTAGTGAAGCCTCTAAAAACATGCTCTCACAATGATTTGGGGTGGGATGGAGCCAAAAAAAGTGGCTTCTCCCGGCTCCTCCTCCAGACCCCTAAAAACATGCTCTCACAGAGAAACTATTTTGCCAAACGGTTTACCAAAACCGCTTCAGCTCCACCGGTGAAACTGTTCGTGGAGCTGAAGCAAAAAAAAAATGGCTTCACTAGTGAAGTGAAGCCCGGCCAAACGGGGCCTAAGTCAAGAGCCGAGGCTAGGAGAATATTCTCTCGAATATTTGGCGAGCCGCATGTGGACAAGAGAAAAGTCCTAGGAACACTACTGCAAAATCAATTCTTAGAGATCATTTATTTTCTTTGGACATGATTCTATTTTTAGCCGCCTCTACAAACAGAGATGAGGATCCTAGTTTTTTAACGGCCTCTAAAAACACATTTTCAAAGATGGTTTAGCCTCTTAAAAGTTAAAATAAGACCTATTTTTATAGGTGTCCAGTAACTCCATCTGTCTCAGAAAAATAGAGCACCTTTTTGTAGAGGCTGATGGAAGCTGGTTCGCCACCACGATTCAAACATTTGCACAAAAAATTCCCTAGAAAGAACATTTGCAGCAAAAGAACACCCCACCTCTTTGTAGAGGCTGATGGAAGCTGCCTCGCCAACCCCCCCCCACCCCCCACCACGCACACACACACACACACTGTCACATAGCACCTCTTTTTTTTGAAACTCGCATAGCACCTCTTGGGGCGACGCGTTTAGAAAGGGAAAGGTGCACTGGTAACTCATCGGACATCCAACACATGAGTGCCGTCAATTGAGCAACATTGTAATATACGTAAACTAAATTGCTCACCAAGCCCACTTTGCCCATCAGAGCGTGACGTAAAAAATTGATTTATGAGAAGAAAAAAAATATAAATTTTCCTTTATACCTCTCCTTAATTGAGCTTAAAAACTCCTTACAGGTTAGTTCTTTGTCATCCTTCTTAACAGAGGATTCTCTCGCTTATAGCTTCTCAGATGGAATGCCGTGTGTCCTTACTATTCGATTCTCCCACTTTTCTAGGCCTAACTATTCGATTTCTCCCACTTTTTTGAGTTGGAGTTCTACTCCCTTATTTTTCTCATCATAATGCAGTGAATGTAGTGGGAGCAACATGCTTATCCTCACGAAATGCGTAGTCAAGGTCCAGGGTCTTGAGAACGTCAAGCACCTTTCTTAATCCATCTAAGATAATTAGTGCCACAAAAAAGGTTTAACGGTGCTTAGGTAGTCCACATAACTCACTGAAATTTATAGCAAGTACGAATACACATCACCACAAGTTAAAAATCATACAACAACATCAGTTCAAAAAATAATAATCATACAACATGAAACATTTGTTTGACCAGCGCATCAATGTCTCCGCTCAACAGAGCAAGGTGCTGAGCAAACAGAATACCGGGAAAAAAATTCCAAAGATGAATTGTTGTAATCATATCAGTATTGTTACTGAAAAACAACTTCCCTCATTCGAAACAGAGATTATCCAGACAGTTCCCGAGCTTGTCAAAGCTGTGATAAAAGGGCGCATTCGCACAAAAAGGATACTGAAAATAAAAACCCCATGATGTTGGCCAAAGTATAAATTTTGAAGAAACCCAGACAATGGGATTTTGGTAGATGTCATGTCATGCCTAACCTGAAGAATGGACACTTCATCACGAGAGGGCTTTCTGCACCTCAGCAGTCACTTCCTTTGGTGGTTTCTCTGCAGGCAGGTTCACCACTAAGCCCTTCTTGGAGTAATAGTCAATCACCTGGAAGAGCCAATTGTTTTCAAATTATGAATAATATTGATTAAAAAAAGTTACATCACTAAGTACAGAGAATACACACATTGACGGTCATGACATACTAAATTCGGAACTATGAATAAAAAGCGGACAGCCCAGAACACTTGCGCAATCACAAAAAAAAACATATATGAGTGGAGCATCAGAACTATAAAGGACATTAAAAAATTGTACGTCCCAAATGGCCCACCAAATTGTTGAACTTTATGCAGCACTATGACATAATTGATGATATAAATATTTAAATGGATGGAAATCATCAATGAACAAATGTGAGATAAGCCAAATTACTCTTAAACAATAGAACCAAATTTTAGAGGTAAGACATTAACATAACTTTAATATAAACATATATAGTGGTACAGGATATTTTTTAGGAAAATAATTCTGTTAAGAATAACATACAGGTTCAGTTTGTCTGTGGAAGGCTTCAAGCCTTGACTTCAAGACCTCAGTTGTGTCATCTCTCCTTGAATCAATGGCTCTCCAGTTACCTTTGTGAAAATGAAGAGCAAATAAACAAACAACAGAGGACAATCACTAAGTATAATGCCAATTGGAAAAAAATATATTTAGTATGAGAAGAATTTAAAATGACAAGTGCACAAATATATTCTGGATCAAGTCACATAAATTTTCGATATTAATAGTTGAATACAAGAAAAGGCAGAAGTGCTTTCAATAATCAAGTTTATTTCTTGCTGCAAAAAAGATAGCAATAACTGTAGAATTTAAGTATATGCATTTTCCAGAGCAGAAAGAGGGTGCACCATCGCTTAAACTAACCAGTACATCATCCAAGCAGAAATAATAGCATCCACAAGCAGACTCAGACCATAACAGTATGTCAATATTCACGCAACCATAATTGTCAAGATCCGATTACTCTAATTTATTATCTAACAGATTGGAAAAGTTATGCCACAAGAAGCTGATTGGGAAACTTGAACAATACACAGCAAAATAGTGAATCGATCCACACTAAGACTAGAAGAAGAAAGTAGAAACCATAGAAATAAGATCATGCAAACATAAAAATAAGCACATAAACTAGATGCTCTGTGCTCGACTTACATCATCAACTCCCGGAGACTTTGGAGGTGCAAATTTTGTATGGTAAGTCCTACCACTGGCCGAGTGGATCCAGCGACCAGTAATCCGTTCTTCCAATATAGCATCATCAATTGCGAAGTTCAGGACCTTGTCAACATTAGCACCTTGCTTTGCCAACTTCTCATCAAGCTGCACAGGACATTCAAAAACTTAGTGAGGGGAAAATTATACTAATTCAAATAGCATATAACAACATGATATAGGAATACTTCTTGATGCTGGTGTATTGATCAAGTAAATGACCTTCTGTGCTTGAGTGACAGTTCTAGGGAAGCCATCAAGAATGAAACCTTTCTGGCATGAGGGTTTCTTCATAGCTTCATCAATAATCCCCACAACCAAGTCATCTGAAACAAGCTCACCCTAAAAGAGGAAGGCAGCATACAATGGAGTCACACAGAACCTTTTTATGCTGGTTAGCATTTTAGTATAACTTTTGGTCTGCTAACAGTACCTTATTCATAGCTTCTTTTGCTTTGATACCTAGAGGTGTCTTGGCCGCCACAGCAGCCCTCAGCATATCATCAGTGGCTAAATGGCACAGGCAATATTCATCCTTAATAATGGGAGACTGAGTTCCCTTTCCAGAGCCAGGTGGGCCTACAAGATTTGTAGAAAAGGTGTCAAATTCTTCAAATCAAGAGCACTATATAACAGAAATAAAAAGTAAAAATGTTGTGAATGAGGAAACAAAAGATTATAAAAGTGTTGTGATTATTGCTCTCCACAAAAAGCACTATGACCTTATATCTCCCTATACACAATCTGCTCTCTTTCATCCTGACTACCAGTACCAGAAAATATGTCAACCCAAATAGCATGACAACAAACAAGGCCATAATTTAAAGCAAGAAACCATATAGCAGACAGCATTTGTTTCAATTTATTGTCTTGAATGTCACAGTTTAGTACCATTTTGTTAATGCAAATCATTTTTTGCGATGTAAATGTGCAGTCATTAGCAACAAAAACTAAAACAATAATTGCATAAGGGAGTTCACCTCAGTGTTTCATTTCACCTCACTGTAGCAACACTGTTTAGAACTGTGGTATGGAATAGAACCGTTTCAATTTTTAAGGTAAAAAAATGAACCGGAAAGAAGAGTAACCGATGGAGCCATGGTTTCTAGCTTCACTGGCTCCGTGTTACTAGTTAATACAAATATCAGAGCAAAATTAGAGCCTGTTTGTATCCACCTAACTAAAGTTTAGCTAGCTAAAATTTCAAAACTTAATTTTAGCCAGCTAAAAGTTCTCCCAGTTAAACTTTAGCTAAAAGTTCTCCTAGCTAAACTCCAGCTAATAGACTCAACTAAACTTTAGCTAAGTTGAACTAGCTAAACTCAGCTCAACTTTAGCTGGTCTTTTAACTGGGCCGTTTGGATCCCTAGCAGCTAAATTTAGCAAGCTAAAGTTTAGTTGATGATCCAAACATGCCCTTATATTGAATATATAAACTTTTTTTTTCTAAAATCAATACAACATGTAATGGATTTTATACCTACTTGCATATTGGCGGATGACTATTTATCCAATAAGCGATACGTGTGTAAAGCCAATACCTCCAAAAGTCTTTCTTAAACTCACTCTCTAAATTATCATTTAGAGAACCATTTGAATAAAAATCACTTTCTATATACCATCCTCCAACAACTTTTCTAATATCTTGTATGCACTCTAGAGATCCAATCCCGTTCTCTAGTTTTGGCTAGCGAGAAATCGGGAACAGAGGCTGATAATATTAGAGATCTAATTAAAAAAATTGTTAGACAATTTTTTTTACTAAAATATCTATTTCTAACGATAAGGAGGAATTTGGAGAGACTCTTAGAGGTGCTCTAAGGTGGTCTAGTTGGTTGCCTTTAAAACATTTTTCCCATGGATTTGGTTGGAAGAAAGGTTGGTAAGGCTGGTACGGGTGGATCAACTCAGAGGGAATGATTTGGCCAAATAGACGTGTGTATGGCATAGATCATGATGTGCGTTTGGTTTTGCTAGTAGTAGGTGGCTACCTACCGTGGTAGTGGCATGTATCGTTTCAGCGATATTTTTCTGGTCCCTCTGGATTTGCATGTAAGTTTGCATCTGAACGATTCAACCCCAGCTTCTCATACCATCATATATCTAACTCCACCTGGGGAAGTTCTATCCCGTTTTACTATGCATGTATGGTGTACAAGAGAATAGCAGCTTGATGAGCTACTTTGTGTCTCAGCATATTTCACGTATTATAAATTTCTAATTTAATCATTCTTCGGCTCCCTGTCAGGCGGTGAAACCCAAGCTCGCCGAACAGCTGTAACCACCAACCCCAAGGTTTCCATGCATGTGCCGGCAAAAGGCAGCATCGTCGAAGAATTTTTCCTTTGGGTCTCGTTTAAATTGGGGCTAGGAATCAGTATTTAGTATTGTAGTATTTTCGTTTGTATTTGATAATTATTGTCCAATCATGGCCTAATTAGGCTCAAAAGATTCGTCTCGTAATTTACAATCAAACTGTGTAATTAATTTTTTTTATCTACATTTAATACTCCATATATGTGTCTAAAGATTTGATGTAATAGAGAGAGAGTGAAAAAACTTGCAATCTAAACAAGGCCTTGGTATCTCCACAAGAACATTCAAAGGCATCTTCCTAGCTCGCTCTGACTGACTCCTAAAATTTTCTTCCTTCTTGTGATTTGTGATTGTAGCATTACATCTAGTACCACTGTTCTTTTTAGAGGGAATAGGAGGGCCCCTACTGAAAATTTTATTAAAAGAAAAAAGGCTACATATTACAAATATTCAAGGCAATTAACAATGGAAAAAAACTACTCTTGGCTCTATTATAACCATGGTGAAATCTTGCTTGAAATTCAATCTACATGAAGTCAAAGTTGGTAGCTGACTGTTGAATATCTTGCCATTCATGTAGTCCAGATGCTCCAGCATATTAACTCTAATTTTCATAAAGAAAGGCACTGAAAGTTTGCTACCGAAAAGATTCTAGAATCTGTAGTGGTGAATGCTTTCCATGGAAGATTTGGAGAAAGGGCAAAAGAGGAAGAGGTGCTGCAGAATCTCTTCCACCTCATCAGAGCATAGCACACAATACTAGGGAATCGTCTCGTGTAAGGGATGTCGGCCCACTGATCGGCCCTGGAGAAGGTGATGGGATACTCGGACCAGGGCAGATAGCGAGGGTCGGCGATGGTGTCGTTGGAGGTGACTGCTAGGACCCATCGTGCGGTGAGCTTCCGATCTCTCTTGTTTTCGGAGGCGGCTCGTCCTCCGAAGATCGAGTTGACAGTCTTGCTGGGGTCTCGAAAGGTGTTGCCTGCAACCCTAAGACGCTCGGGATCCTTGCTACCATCATCCATGGGGTCGTTGCGCTTCTTATTCTGCTCGTCACGGAAGGCCTTGGCTAAGCCATAGCACTCCCGCATCATGTGCTTGCTGTTCTTATGAATCGGGCATGGTCCGTCGGGGAGCATCTCATATGCTGCGTCGTAGCTACGCTTAGCGCGAGGTTGCTTGACGGAGGCGATGCCGTTGTCTGGTCGGCGGCGATGAAACTGCCCGGCTTTCGATCCCTCCGGCCTATCAATATAGTGACGGTCGCGATCGTCATGGCAGCGGTCGCGGTTGTCATAGCGGCGGTCGCGGTCATCATTGCGCCGTTCTTTGCGGCGGTCGTATTGCGACATAGTGGACGATCGGGGCGAGGAATCTGGGCGAGATCGTCTTTGTGCCGCTGGTCGGCTTCTTCGGCATCGGCGTATTGATTGGCCGTCTGGAGCATCTCGCCGATCGTCCGTGGCGGTTTTTGATTGAACTTAGAGCGGAGCTCGTCGTGGTGATATAGCCCTCGGACGAACGTGGAGATGACTTTGGCTTCGCTAATGTTTGGGATACGATTCCTCGTTTCCGAGAAATGTCTGATGTAGCTACGAAGGAGTTCACCGGTCTTCTAATATACCCTCTCTAGGTCATGCCTTGTAGCTGGTCTTTCACATGTAGCCATGTAGTTCTCGACGAACATTCTCTTGAGATCATCCCAGGATCCGATGGTATCCGGTCCCAGACTTGTGAGCCAGTTCATTACGGTGGGTTTGAGCATGATAGGCAAATAATTTGCCATTACGTCGGTGCTTCCTCCGGCCGCACGCACAACAATGGCGTAACTGGTAAGCCACTGCTCGGGGTTGGCTTGGCCATCATAAGGTTCAACCCCAGCAATCTTAAAGCCTACAGGCCACTGGACGGCTTGTAGTCTTGCTGTAAAGGCACGCAACCCCTCGGGATCTCCGGCGATGGGTAGGGCAGCGTTGTCAGCATTAGCTGGGACGATCGGCAGGGGAGCTTCATCGGGATTGCTGAACTCTTGGTCATACTGTCGTCGGCGAGCGACTTCCTCTTCATGGCGCTCATTGCGCCGTCACTCGATGCTATTACGCGCATCATGGCGGGCGTTGAGGTGCTCGCGGATAACGCCGATGGGTTGATTGACCTCCTGGTTGACGTTGCCGAGGTTGGCCTAGGCCCATCGCGGAGGGTGGTTAGGGTTGACAACATAGTTGCCTCTTGGCCCCATCTGGAGATACTGGCCGCCACCCTCATGGCGATGTAACACGGAGCTTTGCATCTGACTTCCTACTACTCGGTGGGAGCCGTGAGGCTGTCGGCCCGTGGATCAGAGGCGACTCGGGTGGGCTAATGCCGTCAAGTGGGACGAAGCTTGTTCATTGCGGAGCTGGTTGACCTGAACCTGAGCTGCTTTAAGTAGAGCCTTGACTTTGAGGACCTCCAGGGTCTATGGAAGTCGATCCAACTCATGATTGACAACGACGAGGTTGGCGCTTGGTGTCTGCTCGACTTCCTGGTTGCCAACCATGAAGAATTCATGCTGAAGGTTGCGAGCGATGGATGGATTGCCTCCTGGGCTGACCTGTTCTCCTTCGCCGGCATTAGCAGCGGCGACAATGGCGTCCGCTTCTTCTTGATGGCGCCGAGCACCGTCAGTGTTCCTGGCTTCATGAGCATTGTGCTGAGAATTGGTGTTCCCATCATGGGCGGCGCTGTCGTGGATGACCATGAACAGCTCCCCAAAAAAAAGCCTGGGCGTAGTAGTGCTGATAATGGTGGTCCTGGTAGAATCTTCCAAAGAATCTGGAGTTTCCTCAAGGATGGTGGGCAAGGAATCATCTGGGAGTTCTCGGATAGCCACCATGTTTACCACTGGTGCAGGTTGATCAGCCTTAGGCAGATCAATCATGAAGAGGTCATTGACGTGATCGTGCTCCATCGAATCGATGCAGCAATGGTGCATGGCGCTCTGGTAAACGGAACCTGCACTCACCAGCCCAAAAGAATAGGGCTTCGGCACGTTCTCCTCCGAGGCTTCGTAATCTGCAAGGAGCAGGCCTGTCGCGGGAAGTGGTCGGTGCTGCACCGTGTGCCCCTCTAGAGTTGTCGTGATCACCAGATCTGAATCTTGCCACCTCGGAAGTCGAGCACAAGCAGAGCGCTCGACAACAGCGGCATGGTGACTTTGGAGTGCCAAAGCTTGATCGTTTATGGTAGATCGATCTAAGACCGACTCCGCGAGAGACAAGCATTCGGCTAAGCCGTCAGTGACCCGATCGATAGATGCGATCAGATCGTCTTGATCAATGGATCTCCTAGCCCGATGAGGCGCCGAGATCGGAGTTGTAGTTGGAGTGGTTGGCGTGGTTGGCGCATGATTATCCTGCACCGACTCCATGATTTCCACGTTGCCATCGACGTTGATCACCCAGGAGATGGATCCGACCATGAAGGACTGGCCGGGCCTGGGGGAAAATGGAGAGCTTGGAAGACGCACCATCCGGTTCGCCATGGGAACAACACGCACACCCCTACCTGGCGCGCCAACTGTCGACGATATGTGGTCAACAGTGTACCGAGGGGTATGCCCACGGTAGTAGATTGATTGGTAGAGGTGCACGTGAACAGGAACTGGATGGCAGATACAAGCACCAAGACACAAGATTTAGATAGGTTCAGGCCATCAACGAGATGTAATACCCTAGTCTTGTGTTTGGCGGATTGTATTATTTGTGGGATGGAATAATGAGATGATTTTGAGGGGGTCCCCTAC